AATGTCTGTAGTGTAAATATCAAAAAGATATATTGATAGGTAAAGATATATTGTGATATTTATTCTTTTTATTTTTAACAGCCATGGCCACAGTCAGAATTGTTTTAAAAAACAATTTATTGAAAGCAAAAGTGGTGGGCAGGGGAACTGCCCTCGGGGGATGGGACCCCCAGCGAGGAGTGAACCTGTCAAGGTTCACCGATATGGGAGTCCCATCTCTCAGGGCAGAGTATCTCCTGCCCAAGGGCTCAAATATGGTATGGAAATTCATTAAGCCACAAAATGTAAGTATGAAACTTTTTTTTTTTTACAAAAATAATGATCTGAGGTAAAAATGATAATCTTTCAAATTGAAAAGAAAATTTAAAGTCCAATACGTTTAAGTGTTTATTTATTCATACCTTCATTCATTTCTTCTGGTGTATTTGATTTATCATTTATTGTATATATATATATTAACATTTTACTTTTAATTTTAGACATTAACATATCATCAAGTAATTTATTTGTTTGTTTGTTTGAGTGTTTGTTTGTTTGTTCATTCGTTCATTCATTCATTCATTCATTCATTCAGCCTTATCACCTTGGGTGTGGCTGGACATGGGAGCCTGAACCCTTTAGGAACAGGCGCCTCCAGGTGACCACTAAGGACAGCATGGAAGTGACCTGTACTTGGGGAGAACTGGACATGGAAATAAAAGGTGCTTAGTCTTATAATTCTCTCTTATATAACCAATGGAAATCAAAGGTGAATTAACCTTTTAATTTTTTCATGCATAACATATTGAAATAATTATGATTTGATCCAACAATCCTATAAAGTATAACCTATGGGAAGATATGATGAAATGGTCCTTCAATATTGCCAAATACATTTAAGACTTTATTTTAGTGTATATCATAACTTGTGAATAACAAATAAATATGCCATCTTATTCCAGAGTGGGACTACATGTACAAGCCTGAAGTCCACACAAGTGGTAAGTCCACACCATTGCTCTATTCAATCAACTTGATGCATTTTTTATCTTTTAGGAAGGATTCATGAAATAAAATTACAACAACACCCTGACTCACAGGGTGCAAGTCTGGACCCTCAGGGGCTGTTGACAATGAATTTGGAGACCTAGCTAATGTGCACTAACTCCATGAAAACTCTCACTGAATACAATCAGGTTAACAGACTAACACGCTTCTCTTTGTCTCCAACATGCTCCAACGTACTCACATAAATGGCATTCCTTAAATTCAATTCTGTTCTTTCAGGTGATACCAAAGAAGAGAATAATGTAGCAATTGTTAGGAACCTAAGCATTAAGGAACTAGGTAAGGCTGGAATCACAGTAAAATAATAGTGTTATGAATTTTAATATACATGTACTTGCACACACACATGTACATTAACAAACACACATACACACGCACATATTCACTACAAGCATGTTGCTCAATCAGGTCGTTAGCATACTTAAGAAGATAATTTATTAATTTTTAAGTCAATTAAATATTAGAATGTGTCTTCATCAAATTGTAATAAGTCTACTGAATCCTTTTTGAACATGCACAGATATGGAATGTTACATGTAAGTTTTCATTTGCTATCATTTTGCTCTTTAGCTGATATCAAAGACACAAAGAGTGTGTCAGATGCTGAGGGCAGTGAGGAGAGAGGTAAGACAGTAAGGTCACTTTAAGGGAGGAATGTACCCAAATATTGCTAAAAATCATCATTTTGGGGTTTTTATGTCTAATTATTGGTCAAATGTGTATCTCACGTGTAACGGGATAACCTTTTTACATTTTGAACAAAAGATATGTTTTTTTCTGAGGATTTTGGTGCTGCACTCATCGGCACTGGTGGCTTGGTCTTTTCATTTAACAGACTTTAAAATGTACACACACACAAACATACTCTCAGACACAAACAGATTGAGGCAGTCTTCTGGGTCTTCTGAAGATGTCCAGAATTTTTTATGTTTACATTGATCAGGATCTAATTTTCTTTGTCAGAAGACGGTCCATAATGGAGGATGGATCAACAAACATAATTTGCAAGGCTTTCAGAATATATTTCTGGTTCCAACCCTGACAAACACTGTTTTTAAAATTTTAATTGAATGTGTCTTTGACTATGTAAAATAATGTTTTGAATCTTTGTTGTGCACAGACATGGAATGTTTAATTTGTGTTCCATTTTTTCCTTCAGTTATGTCAAAGACACAACAACTATGACAGAGGACGTGAAGGAGAGAGGTAAGACAGCAGGGTCAATAGAATAGGGATCTATTTATTACACTGATGACGTGGTTGTGCATGTACACGCACACACACACACACACACACACACACACACACAAAGGTACTGTACTTGCATGCATGTTGCACAAGCAAAGTCTGGCCTTTGACAGATTTAAGAAGATACTTCATCTTCTGAAAATTAATGTCTTTGTTGTGTAAAGATTGGTAACACATAATGTTGATTTGAAAATTCAATTTAATTCTGTTCTTTCAGTTGATACCAAACTGAAAGACAAGAACAATGTAACACCTGTAAACCCACTAAGTATGGAGGAGATAGGTAAGAGAGTAAAATAGTTATAACTTTTAATATACTGTACTTATGAAACATGCATGCACACACACACACACATACACTAACAAACACACATGCACACACATACATACACTAACAAACACACACACACCCACACATACACACCACAAGCATGTTGCTCAAGCAAAGTCTTTAGCATAATTAAGAAGATAATTTATTTTTAAGTCATTTAAATATTTGACTGTGTCTTCCATAAATTGTAATACTGAATCCTACCCTGTATTTGAACATGCACAGATATGGAATGTTAAGTTTTTATTCGATATCATTTTTCCTTTAGCCAATATCAAAGACTCAGAGATTGTGTCAGATGCTGAGGGCATCAAAGAAAAAGGTAAGACAATAAGCTTAGGACAATCTAACGGGGAATTAATTTAACACACTTAAAAATGTAAACACACACAGATGGACTTTAGGTGGGAGACTCTCACACACAAACACTGAGTTTAAATTCACTGTTCAGTGATCTAAATTTTTGAATGTGTCTTTGACTATGTTAAATAATGTATTGAATTCTTGTTGTGCACAGGTATGAAATGTTTAATTTGTTTTCCTGTCTTTCTTCAGTCAGTATCAATGACACAACAACTGTGAAAGCAGACGTGAAGGAGAGAGGTAAGACAGTAGGGTCAATAGAATAGTATGGTCAATATTTATTAGACTGGTGGAATGTGATTGTGCATGTACACACACGCACACACACTCCTTATGTTGTGCCAACACAGTTTGTGCTTTTGGCCAGATTAAAATGATACTTGGCAATTTTGTTTATTCCAAATACTGGTAAAAGTGTTTCATTGAAGCTTCATACATGAAATATGATGTTGCACTGACTCAGGGGCACAACCAGAACATTTAAAATTGTAAGCACAGAAAATTCACAGGTACGATTGTATTCCGTGAAAAATACACTGAATTTATGGAGAATAATATCATGGTTGGCTCAAAAAATTGTACGCACAGTGCATCCTTGCGTATGCCTGGTTACGCCCCTGACTGACTTATTGAACATTTTATACTTTAGCCTCTTAGTAAGTGATGTTGTATTATACATTTTAGTTCCAAAGAATAGCGGCCCATCTAGGTGGAGGAGGGTATTGAATCTGTTCACGTCTTGCTTCAGACGGAGGGCACGAACATAAATGGTTATTATTATAATAATTATTATTATCATTATTATTATTATTATTAATTAAATAATTCTAAACACTTCAGACATTAAGAAATGAAGAAAAGTCAACAGTATTTTTAGTTTAGAATGGATTTATTATACATTTACAGAGAAGTTCTTTTTGTTTGTCTCTTTGTTTTGATGTATCATAACTAAGTAAGCTTTCAGTTTTTTAAGAGGAAAACTATATCAAACAGCTGGTAAAACTGTACATGAAAGCAGTAATTATATCATAGCAGCCAGGAGCTGGTTGTTGTAGAGTTACTGTCAACATCTATTTACACTATATTTAACTGAATACACATTTTAACTGAATAATATTTTAATATTTTCATCTTTTATTTTTCAGGGTCGTCAATGCAGAACTATCATTGCCTCTGTAGAAGCCAGTTAAAACCTGCAAAATGTCATTCTCTTAATTTTTCAATAAGATATTAAATTTTTGTAATCAAATGAGTTTTGTTTTTCTTTCTTTTCTTAATTGAGGGTACCACTAGGGTGGGGTGATCACAATTGACGGGAAATAAAATCATTAATTTACAAATGACAGTAAACAAAACTTTATGCATAACCCCACTGACAATGCTAGTTGAAAATCCTGAAAATTACAAGACTTTATTTCACGAAGGGCAAAGAACAAAAAGCCGCATTTACGAGCCACAGAAATGAGGTGCTTCATGGATCATGCTAAATAATATGGACATTTCACGCATCTCAGGGAAATAAAAAGTGGCTTTAACTGGTAACAAAATACCCAGTGGGACTCTTTTAATTAATTTTTTTTATCAGATTCTTTTTTCAATTTTTTTCTATTAAACCAAAGAAATAAACAATACATGGTACAAACTTTTAACTTCATTCAAATACATTCATGAACACTCATACTCGCACACATATACCCTACCATATGGTTCAATTACGGACAACACTTTCGGTTTTATATTCCAGTATTTTCATGTTTAAATCCAATAGATATAGGCCTATAGTTAAAACTCCTAGGAATTCACTTGAGAGTAAACTTGCTTTAGGCAAAAGCGGCTTTCTAGATCAATTGCAACTTTTACAGATAATGAGCCTGTTTTAATTTACTCTTATATGTGTAACATTGAGAGTATTTTTAAAACGTTTGTTGCATCTGGTGGCTACAGTGGAGGAACGGGGAAAACACTCCAACGTTATTAGCGCCACCGGTAAAATAATTGAGAGAGATCTCTCCCAACTGGATGATATCTTGAAAGACAGAATGGAGAAAACAACAAAACGAATTGTGGGGATCCCACCCAACTAAAAAGTTCTCTTTTCAAATTTTTTATCCAGCAGACTTCTGACTTTTAAGGGCAGTAAATGGTTTTAAGTAGTTTTTTGTCTCTCTTTAATTCCACTTTTAGGCCTAGTTCATAATTTTTTTATTGTCCAGTGTTTTATCTTAGTTTTATCTCTCAAAGGATAACAATTGCCGATATTTATATCTAAATATTTTTATTGGCTGAATAAATTCTTACTTTATCTTATCTTACTTGTACTATTGCTATAGCCATGTTACATGTATTATCATAAAAAGTACTGTAAATAGCGGCAACTTTCTTTTTTAACACAATTCCTTTTCTGTCATTTTTCAAAATGATTAAAGGATTTAAAATCTTTTAAAACACCCTGCTGCGGTACGATATTTTTATCTCTTTTACACACAGTACGCTTTGAAATATGTGCTCGAAGTAGCTAAATCTCTTTACTTTTCTCGTCCCAAAAACGTTACCAACGCTCTCAGATCAGGTCTATCCTTTTAAAATAAAATGATCTATTGTATAAAATATAACATGAGTAAAACATGAGTAAAACCATAACGCCATACTTAAATCAAAATTCTCCCCCCCCCCCATACGCCCCCTTTCTACTGATACCATACAAACTCAGCGTGTGTAGGAGTGTGAAAACTAACGTTGATCAAGTTCACGGATAGGATATGCCATATAAGGGGAGATAGGTTATATCCTTTTGCGTTTCTTTATTCTGTCAATTTTGAGAAGAAATATCAGTGTCTTGTATTACATTTAGTCAATATAAATTTTAAAAAAGTCAATTTTCCTCCCTCTATCACGTAATTCGTCAGATGTAATAAAATACAGCATTTCCCCCAGAAAGCCTTTACCCCCATTTGTGTGAATGCAATGTGCCGTCTGCAGAGCTCAGCGTCTGCCACCACGCTGGATGCTCGCTTCCCGGGAGCTGAACAGTTAACGCGGTCTGAAAATTTTTAGGGAGAGTCAGATGAAATAGAGAGGAACCGTGGCATGTATAAAGTCCTACGTGTTGAAGCTGGAGATGTGGGCTAGTTTAACTCTTTTCTTTAAAACTTCTCAATATACTCTGCCTTTCACCAACCCTATGCAACTGAAATATTTTGCTGGCATCTTGATACATTTTCCACTTCTGTCTCCCCCGTAAAACGGTCCATACTAAAAAATCAATAATCGTATGGCAATTTTATACAGGCAATTGACCTACTTTTATACCCATGCAGCTATCAACGAGTTTTATGGCTGTGGAGTGAAAACGTGATACACGTCAGTGATAGAAAAAAATTATTTCTAATTACACAATTTACGATCAGTGCATATGACTCAAAAGTGTCCCGATTTGTGAGCTTAAGGGGACATTACTTTTTGAAAGTAATGAAAAAATTGGAAACAAGCCAAAATCAGAAAAAAATGCATTTTTTCTCTTATATGCAAATTAGGTTCCTTGAAGTAATATAAGACTGGCCGGAAGTGATGTTCATATCAGAGATTTGTAATGATGATGATCTTAATGATAATAAATGATGCTTAAAAAATCTTATTAAAGTTTTCAGTTGTCATCTGGTGTGAAAGAATTTTTTTCTGCACTAACACAATCTTTCCACAAGTGAAAAATAGATAGTAAACGCGCCTCAGAGATGCACTGCATATGACGTCTCAGCTTTTGGATGAAAATCGCACGCTTAAGATATTAGGTTATGATTATGATGTAAAAATATGCGTG